GAGCGGACCGCGTCGTTTGGGCCACGGGCGGATGATCCAGCCACGGGCGGTGGCTCAGTCGGCGGGCCTGTTTCCGCCCGACCGAGTACGATCGTGGTCGACAGCGAGGAGCAGGAGCTGGCCGGTGTCGGCGGCGAGAACCTGCCAGCTTGCGGTGGACCTGAATCGACAGAGACTCCCGCGGTGTTGCCGCCCGCTGGAGCAACGACGACGACGGCGGCGGGAAGGGTCCCCCCTGGGCGCGTATCGAGCCGCACGGACACCTGTCGCTCTCGCCCTTTTGTCTCCAAAGACGACTGTCCCTCTTTCTCGCCAAAAGGACGTTCTACCGCTGACAGGTGTCGTGGTGCTCCGGCGACCAGTGGAGCACGAGTGGCAGTGGACAAAGCGGGTCTGCCCCGGCCTCAATCGGTGCTTGGTCAGGCAGCGGCAACAGGCGTCCAGTCTGTCGGGAGCGGAAACGGTGGCGGTGGGAAGATCAATGTAGGTGCCAACGAATCGGCTTGTTCTTCTCTGAGCACGGACGTGGTGGAGGGTCGTCGCTCTTGGGCAGACGTTTCGGCCTCTAACCCGTCAGACGTAGCGTCCGTAGGGTCGACATCGTCTACCAGAGCCTCTAACTTCGGGGCCGCCAGCACCAATACGTTGAATAAAAAGCAGAAAAAGAAGGCCAAGGCGGCCGAGCGCAAGGCGGCCAAGCGGAAAGCCGCGGCGGCAGCAAAGAGTGGAGCGGCAGCGGCGTCCCTGGCGGAGGAGTCGACGCTGAAGCCCTCCGCAAAACTGCAGGCTTCTCCTCCAGCGGAGTCCGACCGTTTTTCCACCAAGCAACGCCATCCTGTGGCAGTTACTCCCGAGACGGTTGCTGCCGGATCGCACGTGGATGTGCACGAGGCGGGTGCGGGAAGCGGCAGTGGCGGTGGCAGTGGCGGTGGCAGTGGCAGTGGCGGCGGCGGCGGCGGCGGCGTAGCCGAGGCTACCATGGCAGCCTCCCCTAGCACCTCGTTCAGGAACCGAGCCCCGCTCGAGAATGTCACCGCGGGCAACGTATACAGCGCGACAGGCCCTACTTCTTTGTCTTCGTCGGACGAGGGTGGCGTCGCACGCGTATCCTCGATGCCGGGGTTGGCCTCCGGTGGATGGACGCACGCAGCAAGAGAGGGTCGAGGAGGCGCGGAAGAGAAGGGGACTGGTGGTGCCGGTGCTCCCAATCCTGCGGGACACGCGGCCGGCGATGATGGCGACGGTGCTGGTGCGGGCCGAGTGTTTGGCGAAGGGCCTGACCGCCCGCCGCCGTCTGAGCTGGCCATCACGGTCACAGAAGAATCCTCACCGGCGATGGTTGAAGCCACGTCCGTGCCTGTTGCTGCTGCGCCGCTGCAAGCGCAAGCCCTTCAGTGGCTGCCACCTGGGTTCGGCGGCGATCGCCTCTGTGATGAAGCACGTCCTTCCGCCGCAAACGTACCAGAAGGCACAACGAACCGTACATCTTGCACCCCGACCGGAGCGCCGCCCGGTTTCGACGGCGACCACCTTCGTGATGAAGCGCATCCTTTGGCGGCAACCGCCGCAGGAGGCGGAATGAAATCTGCTACTCGCCCCCCCACCGGAGCGAGTACGACCCCCACTGATATTTCGGAGGCGGCCGCGGCTGCAGCGGGGACCCTGGCCACGGCAGCACTGGCGAGCAACCCGACCGGCGGCCGGGCACAGAACTCCGCGAAGCAGGGCGGCGGTGGAGGTTTCGGTAACTGTTCTACGAAGATTTCTTTGGAGGAGCGGTCGCGGCGGAACCGCGCGCTGAGTGCAGGTGCTTCCCCTTTCTTTCCGGCGAGATACGGGCACCGTGGTCGGCGGGGCTATCGGACGGTCCAGCAGGCGAAGCCTGCGCAATTTCCGGAAGAGAGCCGGCTGCCGGGTGGGGGGTACTTCGTCGAGGAGGGCCCAGACGACACCCTCCCGCCGCCCTCGGCGTTCGAGATGCAGGAAGCCGCCCACATGATGAAGGTGTACAACGACATGATGGAGCGGCTGCGCACAACAGGCATGGACGAGACGCTTCCCAACGGGTTTACACCCCGGATTTACGACTTCACAGAAGGCGGTTGTTGATCGAAATCAAACGAGTGCGTGGCGTGGTTTTGGCTGTTCTTGGTGGTGAGTTGGGTTTGTTCGCTTGCGATCATTGGTGCATTTGTTTGTGGCCCGTCCTTGGCAATGAGCGGCGTGCTGTTTACAACATTTGTCTCTGCTTGTTGGATGCCGATAGCCACCGACAGTGAACAGGTTGTCTGGTTATGTTTCCAGGAAGGCCGAGGTGTTACCTATGATCAAAGACCAGAGAAAGCAGCAAGGATTGGTGGTGTTTGGAAGAATCACAACAAGTCCGGGTGGGCGTGTGGATCATGGCATCGCTGGCGTCTGTGGGCAATGAGGAGCGGGAAGACTGTCTGCAAGGTTATGAATATGTCGTGTGATTTCGAGACAAAGGGCCGAGTTTTCCGGGGGAAACGTCTCTTTCCAAGGCAAAGGGCTTCACAGCTTCTCTTGGTTTCTTTGTTCTGCGTAATTTTATTAGTGTTCCGTGTTTTTGGTTGGATGGGAAGAATGAGTTGTTCTTGTGGTGTTTTCTTTTGCCTGTGTCCTATTTGGTGTTTCTCGGGACTCGAGGGGTTGGTGTCGGGTATCAGGGTGCCTCGCACCGCTTGAAGGCCAGCGTGAGGTAGCATCCATGTCACCTGCTTTCGGGAACTTGGTTCTACGGCAGGAGTCTGCTGTCTGCCTTGGCTTCACGCGTTCCGGGTTTGTCAAAGATATTGCAGTATGTGTCATTTGCGTACCTCTCCCGCTCTCCGTCTTTCTCTCTCGCGCTCTGCTTTATTCAGACGCAACTGACGGTTTGTGTGGGGTTGCTTCAGGTCCCTGCGTTTTATCTTTCGCGTTGCGTTTACAATCATCCCGGATACCGTTTAGTAGCACTTCAGCTTTTTCCCGCACTTCCTACTGCTCTGTGCGATTGTTGCGCTACAAGATTGTTGTCACGTGTTGTGAGGCGGGCAAGCAAGAAGAGGTGGGTCTGTTGAACTGGATGTACGTTTGACGGCGAGGGTTTGGACCTGGACGGCACCTAACATCCCACAGCAAGAGATGAACCATCCGTTGTGGTATGTCGCGGTTTGTTCTTGGAGGAGAGCAGTGCAAGATAAGGGAGCCAAATATGTCTTGTGGGTGCCCGCGGGAGAATTTACTTTAGAGGGAGGAGGCTGGTGAGAGATTTTCGTGAGGTCTACTGTTGGGCGTGGTGAGAGTAGATGGGAAACTTCACGGGCGAAGATGAAGGGCGATTTGGTATCGTAAATTAACTAGGAGTCGTGCGAGTTTAGGTATACACAATTATCGTAGTTCTGGCTGGCGTACACAACAAACACGTGTGTCGACAGTGCTTGGTGGTTTTGAAGGAGGGGAAGAGAACATTAGGTGTGCGTGGGTGGAGCTGCACGGAGTGAAATAGCACCTTGCCGCTGCCCGATTCTGCACTTGTAGGTGGTGCTCACCACCAGTGGTTGGGGAGCGAGGAGCGAAGGAAAGGGGGGGCGGTACATGTCAGGAAAGGTGGCGTTTTTTTTGCAAGGGGGTCGAGCTAGCGCTGGCATCAGAGCTCTTCAGTGTGCGTGCATGCGTCCTTTGGCAAATAGAGCAGTAGAGCAACCGTAGGGAGTAATTTTTGTCTTCTCTACGCTTGGGTGTGCGTTGGTGTGATGTCTCAACCAGTCTGGGCCGCGAGAGGAGGAAGGAATACATGATATGTGTGATGGTGAACGTGCTGAATATAAACGTTTTGTGCGATCTGGTGTGGTCTAGGGCTTTCAGGATACTGCCGGATCGAAGTGTATCCTTAACTCTTTCATGTACTCCGAACCCAACCACAAGACGTCTTTATTGGTCCTCGTGACATGAGTTTGCCTACTGCTTGCGGTCGATATCGCCTCGAGGTGGGCTTTGCCACAAGCAAATCCTGGCACCACAAAGGCTCGTGTGTGGACACATGACACACGTTGCCCCCGAGACCTCCTGCAACAACAGCGGCTTGTTGATCTCAGTGTTGATGAACGTCACAGTTCGTACGCTCACAAATGGGACGGCCGCCAAAATACATACCGCTGGGAGACACAGTGGACCTTCCACAGACCGTGCGCGCATCTAAGATACATATCTCCCGTCATACACCCACTACCCTACTCAGTCGATCAACTCCTGCTGAATACTACTGCACTCTTGTGTCCTTTTCGGCCCCCATGATGACATCCAGCCGAGTCATCATCCGACAAAAAGGATCAAATGGGTGTGTAACTTCACATTGGTCACCATTCACCATTTACGACCACCAAATATCTCGCCCCAACCACCTTCACCCCATGTCGTGGCCTGCATTTCGGGCTGTTGCTGCCTGCCCACCGACACCGAACCGGCCAACCAGCTGCTGGTAAATGTCGCGAACGGTGTCGTACTGGTTGTCGAAGGGGGCCTTCTCGTGCTCGAGAAACTCTTTCCACATGACCATGAACCGCGTTGAGGCTTCGTTCCTCCAGTCTCCGACAGCCCGGCTGCTGCTGCTGCTGCTGCTGCTGCTTCTGATGTGGTGATTCTTGCTCCTTGCCAGCCCACCAGTCTGCTCGGCCTCCAACGATGCCGCGGCGGTAGTAGAGAAGATAGTTCTCGAATCCCCTCCCTCTCCCGTTCTTCCTCCGCCGGCATAATTGCCGAAGCCACTCTGTCCTCCATATAGTGCTGGACACTCACCGTCGGTCTTGTCATGGCCACTGTTTGATGTGTATATTTTCTGCGGCTGCCGTTGGTCATGACGGGAGATGGCACCTGCGGCGATAGTCTCGGTCTTCCAAGGCAACAGGGGGGTTGCCCCTAGCGGATCGGGGGGAGTAATCAACACGTCCTCGTCGCCCCCCTGGCGCTCGACGCTCTGTTGCCGGGAAAGTCTGACAAGGTTAAGGTATGCGAGACCCGCGTTCTTTAAAACCGAGGCCTGCGGAGGCCTGTTTTGGATTTGTCGATGACACCGGTGTGGGGCAAGCGGGAGATGGGGAGAAGGTCAAAACTGAGCTGTAATGGTGGCGTGCCGGGTCGGACACGGCGGAACACACGCCGATAGAGCTTGACCGGAAACTGCGAAGCTTCCCGAACTTTACACGCATACTCTGAGTGTCATGGTTCCAGCTACGTACCCATACGTGGTAGGGCACTAGCGCCCCCCCGCTCACGAACTCACACACGCAGTTAAGAAGCCGACGTTGATTTTTCTACTTGAATTAACGCGAAGATATCCAACGAAATAAGACAAAAAGGCAAGGGACAAAACAAAAACAAGCACGCCCCACCCACATTCCGTTGTAGCTCCGCAGCACCGCTTCTAGGTACAGAACGGCTGTGACCATCATATCCCGCTCGAACGGGCCCCGCTCCTCATCTGGCACCGCCAGAGCTCGCTCCAGGCCGTACGCGGCCGTCTCCGCGGCCGCGTCGTACACAATGATTCTCAGGGTGCTCTCCCACCACTCCGGCCCGTATTTGTCCCGCGGGGGCAGCGACAGGCTCCCGTCCTCGCTACCATCGTTGTTTTCGGTAGTGCTGGCAGCTGTGGCACGGCGGCTGCCTCCAAAGCGGCGGCGGTCTACCAGCGTAGCAATCAAGCCCCAGACCCCGTTGCTGTTGCTACCGTAAGTGTCTCCGACGGTTGCGACCACCCGAAATTCTGCCGCCACTGTCGCCCAGGCCTTGGAGGAGTGGCAAACCCACAGTGCCGTCGGAAGCGGCGCCGAGTTGTGGCGGCGTACCACCCTCCTCGCCAGCCCCACGGGAACGAAGTCGTATGCGGTGTCCATGGATGGCTCGGGAAAGTTGGGCCTCCCTACCATGAAAATATTGCCCGAGGCGCGGTCGAAATTTGCGTCGAGAAACTCGAGCAAGGTGAAACCGCCGCCGCCACTAGCTTTGTCATGGGTGGAACCGGCGGCCGCGTATCTTTCGCCGGGAAAAATTATCTGTGTGTACGAAAGAAACGAGCGTACGAATACCAAAAAAGAATCATGCACAAGTGCTAAGTTTCGGGAGTCCCAAACTCGCACTGATGCAACTTTAAGAGTAGAGATGATACCCGACGGCCGAAGAGACGCGTCGTTTTCAAAACCCGAAGAACATGCCGTACGCGTGACTAGCGCGCTGGGTACGGCAGCCCCAAATACACAGCGAATGCCGATGTCCGTAGAACAACGGGGAGCCGGGGGGAGGACACCGCTTTCGTGTACCTCGTTCGCTGAATCATTCACCTGAGGATATAGGTCCCTCTTCACGTCCCACCACAGGAAGGTCATCATAGCCATGTTTAAGAGACTGACGTCTTGTCGGAACCCCTCGCAAACCTGCATGTACCTCGTGGATGTCCACTTCAATCCACAAAGCGAGTCCATTACGCAGGCGCGCGTTGGAAACAAAGTAAACAACGCAAGCGAACTCATCAATGCCCTCCCACGAGAGTCCGATGCGTCTCTTGAGTGACTTCTTACGGCCAACGAAAGCAGGGAAAAATCCTGGCGTGCTGTATCTGACTCAGCTAGCAAGATACCATTCCTGCATCAGAAGAAGGGAGTCCACCGTGCTCAGCGATACGAACCCTGCTAGATTCGATAGAAAATCCACACGCCTCGGTGGCTCAGGTGACTTAAGCCCCAAAGAAACATTAGAGTTTTACGGCCCGGCAGTGCAGACCGTCGTGGTGGCCAGTGCCACACTCTGCTATGGACGCTCCTACTCCTTTTAAGTCAATCCGCGAAGCAGGTGAGTCACCATCGCTTTACCGTACGATGTCCTTTCCCTCACCATCTGGTCGTTGTTGATGAGAAATATCGACCTCGGCGGCAGTGGGCCGAGCACCGCCCTCGCGTAGCTGCTGAAGTGGGTGGCGCCCCTCTGGTCCCCCGCCGCGTAGCCCCTGGCTAGCTGTTCACGAACAAGCCCGATGCACGCCATGGTCGCCAACATAGTTCCGATTCCTTGGCCCAACCACCGTCTGTTGGCAGTGAGCAGCGCGTAACGGCTTGTTTGTTGGTGGCATACTTTGACGTGTTGCGTTTAAAAGCAAGCGAAGATAGTAATGAAATAATGTGCGGAGTACACGTAACGCCGTGCCCATCTGTCGGCCCATGCTGTAGGTTCACGGGTTCATGGAGTATACGAATAAATGCGACGAGACAGAAAGCAGGCAATGAAGAGACACCGGGCACACAAAACAGCCGTCAGATGAAACATGACCGTCCAACACCCCATATGTTTCGCTCCCGCAACTCTCTGTATTCAGCCTGTGATGAACATTCGCAAGTACTGCTTCGTCTTCATACATCATCACGTAGACTCTGGCTGACCTGACGAGATCGAACGTCTGGTACATGCCGACTCCGCAGAAAACGAACACCACGATGTTGGGCTGCATCCAGAAGCGAGCGTGGACTCCGAACAGGAGTGGGTCATCGAGTGGCATATTCGACAACCAGTGGAACACGACCAAGTACAAGACTAGGGCCGCCAACAGTGCTGCCGGGGCGCTGAATCCCGTGTCGTCCCACGATGCCAGGACCCCAACTACGGTAGAACACGATGTCACCTTCCTCGACACTGGTGAGTCATTGTGTTTGGCCGTATTCTGCTGCTGCTTCTCCTTGCTGCCCGTCGAATTCCAGGTTGACCCTGTTGAACTCCCTCGCTCTGTCTCGTCTTTAGATCTCGTACCCGCTGTCGATGCGGGACGTGGTGACGCCGCGCAACTAGTCTTCTTCGAGCGACGACGGATGCCCTTCTTTGTCCTGGACGATAGTGACGACGCCAGCTCACTGCAGACCGTGCGGCTACCGGACGACGGTGCCACTAGAGCTCCAGAGAAAAACTCCACCATGAGACCCTTCGAAGACGTCGTCCCTGCTACAATGTCAATACGCATTTCCCCCTCTCCTTCGCGTCCTCTTTCTCTCGACGGTATGAACACTAAGAGAGACAGCACCCCGAGCACGGCCAGAGCCGGAACCACCCCGCCGAGTCCCTGCACTGACGACAGGTCGTCAAACCAACTCAAAAGGCGCTCTGCGCAGTCTCGGCCAAGGCCCTTGCCGCTACTGCCCCCGGCCTTGCCAGAGTAAAGCCGCAGAGATCCGTAATCGCCACGACGAATATGATGCAGAAAGCCACTCCACGTGGTAACGTTGCCCCACGATCCGCGCTTGGGTGCGCGCTTCGCGGCCAAGGGCAGAAAAGCGTACGGTGCAAGGCCGAGCAGAAACACGGCAGCAAGTAACGTAGTCTCTAAGGAGAGGCGGCGCCAAGGGTGCAGCTGCCGCTTCTGTTGCGGGTGCCCCTGTTGCTGTCGTTGTTGATGCGTGGTGTGGTATTGGCGGCAGCGCGAGGTGACGAGCTGGAGCATGACCCAGGCAGCCAGCGGGGCTACATACAACACCGCAGTGTGCTGGTTGCTGAGGGCGAGCCCGCTCACGAGCGCTCCTCCTGTGGCGGTGGCAAGCTCCCGGTGAAGCGAAAATTGCACAACAAGCGAGCACAGGAGTGAGAGAAGGAAGTTGTTGAGCGCGAAGACCTCAGCAGTGACGGAGTACTGCCAGGTCAGCGGGGAGAACGCCATAAGTAACGCCGCACACCCTGACGCGAGCTCCCGCAGCAGTACTGTTGTTGCACCATCCCCACTCTTTCGCCACCACAACCGATCGCGGAGGCACGTACTGACGCACTCGAAGAAGGTACTTTTCGATACAGTTTCTCCTACCGCCTGCTGCTGCTGCTGCTGCTGCTGCTGACGGTCATCAGTGCTTTCACCATATCTCCACCCCCAACGTGGGCGAAGCAGCAAAAGCGTTGTCTGCGCTGTGAATAGGACGGCAAGAGCCCCCATCATCGAAGCAGTTGCATTCGCGTACCACGCGGGCGACGCTCCCCCGTCTGCCTCCGTGCCCGAGCTTAAGCCTACATATTCCAACAGAACCGGAAGACCGCGGGTGGTCATGTGGTTCAGGAGCGTGAACAGCGGGTAGCCTGGGGGATGAGCTGTGCCGAGGTGGCAGGACTCGGCCACCAGCTCGCCGGCATCGCCGCCAGGTATTCCGGGAGCAACCGTCGCCAGGTATACCCCAAAGGCACATGTACCGACCAGGAGTCCTGTTTACGTAAGAGGACCATGCGCACGGCGGTAGTGCATTTAGGGACCGTTTAGATCGGCTGTGGCGGCGTGTGCTTGTTTGGAGGACCAAGATACTCTTGGTGCCCATGGCCAAGGAAAATGGGGCCGAAAATGGCATGCGGACGAACTTCTATTGTTGCAACACGAAACACTCCAGTACACGAACATTATATTAGGATATCAAATGAAAACAATTTCATTTGCCACCGCACGCCGTTGTGTGATTTGGTGTGGTGCACAAAGCATGACTGTCTCTGCAGATGACGTAGACGGGTAGATTGCACACACCTGCTGGAAAGATCGTTGTGGATCTGACGTGCGCTTCGGCTTGCTGCGGCAAAAGGGCCTGCGGTTGATTTCTTGGAGGCATGGTATCCGGTCAAGATGATAGAGCGAGGGAGAAGTCAAGTGTGCCAAGGCGTAGCTGAAGTTAGCGAGACGCTCTGGCAAAGATCGACCGCCGACCCACAAGACCGCTTCCTCTGAAAAAAAAAAATCGACAGGTTTCCAGTTCGTCCGGAGGCGGATTGGTTCTCCCCGGCTCCTCCTGACTCCTGCCTCCTGCCTGCTCCTGTGTTGGGCCTTGCTCTAGGCTGTGAGCTGTGATTGCATCGAGCGTGGCAGGTGGAGATACAAGAACCTTCGACTTTCCCTCACCTTCTCTCGCAGGCATTCCCTACTGAATAGGGTTGGCCGGAGTCGTATCAATAGCCCCGGGCGTGCTCATGCTGGGTTCTCGCCTAGCGTTCGCGTCTGCAGCTGTGAAATGGTCCCATCTGCCCGTTAGCACCCCGCCGCCTTCAACCAGGCGACTTCTGACCATGCGCGCAGGCCCGGACGTGCTATGTCTAGATTGCACGGGCACCATCATGCGGATAAAGGGCTCGATGCCAAGGTGCGTGACAGCGCTATCCACATGAATCCCGCATGAATTTGCTCGCCGATCCCCGAACCAACTTTCAAAATGTCACATTTTCCGTCTCCGTCTTCCGAACCCCCCCGTATCTGTTCCAACGTTCCAACAGTTCTTCCTGTAATAATGCGCAACGTGCTGTCTTGTGTATATGTACGACAGTGGAGTACAGCTGTACTACAACATCGCTCACTGTCTTGAATTAATTATCCGTGTGTACTACAAAGACTACAGCTGTACAGTAGTGGTCCCGGTATGCCGGTCAAATAATGCCGGTCGCCCGGTATAATGCCGGTGAAATCGGCTGGACCGCACGAACCCGGTACTGCCGGTAAGGCGTAAGGCATACAGGCACTATACAGTAGAGGCACTATAATGCCGGTTCGGGGGTCCTCTGGTCCGTGAATAATGCCGGTTCTCAAGAATAACCTTTGCTCACGTACGCAGCGCACACATAACACACACACACCATTTCGGGCCTACCAGCTGTATCCCTATGCTCCGCGCAATCAGTAGGGCACACCATGCCTTGTGCTGGGTGCAGGATGCGCACGATGCCAGACTCCACGCCAAAACCCTCTGACGATGTTCATACATGCCTAACCCTAACCCTATGCCAGCCCGACAGGCAGACATGAGGGGCTTCCTTGACAGTGTAGTATCTGATGGAAAAGGTTGCCGCAGATCAATGTTGCGTAGGCTAAACTTTGTTTAGCACCAGTACTGTACGGTGCGCGGTGATGTTGTTGCTTCAGCAGGTAGGGGTTCTGTCCCAACAATGGTGTTTGTGTCGGACCTGATACCACCACACCTACGTGGAACATCAGTACATACAGTCCGATGTTTTTTATCTGGGTTCTCCAATGTCATATTCTGGCTGGGGGGCGCATGTAACGTAGGCGGGACCAGTTCGAAAAATACATCGGTGCACTCAGATGTTTTGTACTCCAGAGTATGCATATGTTGCTTAAAATGTACTTAGGGTGTTCAGATGTTCTTGGTTTCTTTGTTTCTTATTTTTTCGATGTTTGCGTTACGATATATCTTGTGCATACGTGTGCTTTCCGAGTCAAGGGAGGACATCGGGTCAGAAGGACAACTTGAGGTGTACGTCAGGAAGAGTTTGTGCACAGACGCTGCTGTGCATACCACAAAAGAGAGCAGCAGACCCACAGATACATTTGAGGTACGGCCCATCGATGCGCGCGCCTCTGAATGATGCTCGGCCGCGGCATGCTTACCAAACCTCCTCACACGGCATCCACTTTCTTCCCCATCTCGTGATGCGTGTGTATGTACACTATGCTGGCGTATGATCACGTTTTCGTGCTGAATAACTCGATTATTTCCTGGATAGTGCCGGAACCGGCACTCTTCAGGCCGGGTTTATATAATGCCGGTGGCCTGCTTTGATGCCGGTGAACTCGACTGGACCGCACTGGTGAACTCGGCTGGACCGCACCGGCATGATACCGGGACCAGTACTGTAGTCTAAAAGGCGTATCACACATGTACTGCGTTTTTCTGTTGAGCGGTGCTGGCGTTTGTGTTTCGTTTTGCGATGTCTTGAGTATTTTTTTTCCCGCCCACTTACCGTTGGTTGCATTAGATACCACAGCCGTGTGACAACATTTTTGGGGTACCAAAGGTACCATGGTATTCTGTAGGGGGTGTGATATCTTATGCCACCCGTGTGATAAGGCACTCACAGCACCCCGTCTACAGGGGGTGTGATCGCAATGGGGTGTGATGACGTCGCCCGAATGATGAAGCGCTCTCACATGACCCGGCCTACAGGGGGTGTGACAATGATGGCGTGTGATTACGTCGCTCGTGTGATGAAGTGCGCTCAAAGCAGGAACCCGGGTACAGGGTGTGATGAAAGGGATAAAACAGGGTTAGCTGCAGATCATGTTGTGCGGGCCTCAGCAGCACATATGGTGTCGCGCACGGCTGCTGAGGGAGTCGTCTCAGCAGGGGCACACGTTTCCCCACGGCGGGGCTTTCAGCGCGGTTGTTAACTGCACCGCCTTCCATGGTATTGTCGGCCTCCATAGCGTTTGCGCGCAGGTCGCTTCGCTTGTGTTCTTGTGATCACGTGTTGTCACGCGCAGGTCGCTACGCTTGTGTGCTTGTGATCACGTGTTGTCACGTTGTCGCACCATGTGACAAGCGGGGGCCCCGTCGATAGTGTGCGGCTCAACCTTGGGGGAGGGTATCTTACGTATGTCACCGTGTGATAAAAATGACGTCTTTTTCAGGGCTAAATACACTAGCACACGTGTGTGCTATTGTGTGATTTTCCGAAGGGTGCGTATGTTATGTACGTGTGATATCTTGTGCAACCTACGTTAGTATAGGGTGATGGCGTGCTTCGAAGTCTACCCCATGCCCGGCCGGCTCGCTTCCCCTCAGTCAAACCTTCTTTCAAAGACAGTTTGCCGGGACATCAACCTTGCGGTTTCGGCCGGCTCATTTCTCCTCGGTCGCGCTACGTGTATCAACACACAACAATTCACCTACCATTTGCGCACTGCCGCTCTTTCTGCATTCCTGCCCCCAGCACACATGTAGGGTGTGCTACTAACAGAAGTATAGGCTTGGGGTTCGGGTCCCATTTCCTTTTCCATGTTTCGGCGACTGACCCGCAGCAAAGCTCACGCGCCTCATCTCTAACGTGCTACCCCCGGTGCCGTGGCAGGCTCTACCTGGGCGTCCTGGAAGACCGCCTGGGCGTCTCGGAGGGCGGGCTTCCCGACAAGGTTTCCGAACAGGACCTCTTAGATTCCTTCCGGGCGTCGCTCAAGCGGAGGTCGAAGGAGCTGCCGTGCTTCGGCACGGGGGTCATGTCCTCCGAGGACTGGTGGGCGGAGGTCGTGATGGCGACATTTCGAGGGGCTGGGGTCTCGGACGAGACCCTCGGGATCAGCCAGGAAGGGGGCCGAGGTGGCGGCGGCGGCGGCGGCGGCGCTAGAGGCGGTCGTGTATTTGATGACGTCTTCGATCGGCTGTTTCACGATGTGTTCACCAGCACGACCGCGTGGGAGCTTGTGCCGGTGCGTTTCTGGGCCTTAAGTTTTATTTTGTGCGTGCATTCATTGGCTTGAAAGGGGGGAGGCGGAGGTCACGGGGTGGGAACTGTGAGAGGATGGGTGAGGGTTTGGCTGGCGATGTAAAAACGTTAGTGTCTTTGTACATTTCGAGTGCCCTGGAGAGATAGAGCAGCGGGTTGGCTCGGGCAGGCAAGCGATTCGTTCGCAAGAGGCGTTAAACCAAACACCGAAAAAAAGAAAAAAGCTTCGCGGCGTGCTGTTGCATTTTTCACGACGCACCTGAACCTTCCGGCCCTGGCAGAATTCAGCGTAAACTTGTTTTCATGGTCCCCCTGGTTGCCTCTCACTGCTATTGCTCTTGAGTGCACGAGAACGTACACTACGATGTCTGCCGTTAATGAGTGTGACACCCTCTTCTTTTTCTTTTCTTTTTTTCATTTTTCATGATGTTCTTCGTGGGGTCTTGACGAGCAGGGAGCGGAAGAGGTGCTGGAGGATCTTCGCGCTTGGGTTGGGGAAGATGGAGGACCGCGGGCACTTGGCGCGGTGCGTACGTAACGCAGTTTCCGTTACTTACTCTCAGACTTTCGCACGAAGAACTGACGGAAACGTCTACATGACCTCAGACCGAGCGTTTGGTTTTCTTTTTACCATGCGTTGGATTGAGACGTGCGGATTGCATGATCGCGACACCTTGGGTGTGCTTGGAGGCCAGAAACGGTGTTTCCATGGAAAGTGATAGTTAACGACAAGCAAGGTTGGGCCACCTGGGCAACACATTTCCCGTCATTTGGACAAAGTATCATGACATTTTGGTGCATATGCATTTGTCGTGTTTGCTTCTTCCTCGGGCTAAGCTGCCGCTTTCGAATTGTTTTCCCTCGTTAGAACACAAACGTCTGTAAGCAAGCCCGCTAGCCGCGGTACAAGTCTCGGCAATTCGACTATTGTCCGTGTGCACATCTCCTGAAGTTGCTTGCTCACCCCGGCCCTTCTCCCTCTCTCGGTCCGCTGCCAAATAGGTGTCAAACTTTGACGAGCGCCTCCACCCGCTCCTTAAAAATCTCGGCGTGTATGACTCCTTCGACTTCGTGCTCACATCGAGGTACAAAGCACTTCCTCGCAACGATAGCGCGTTTTCAACACCCCGGTTGTTTCGGTGTGTGTTGTTTCATCAGGGTTGTTTGTGGCTGTTGAATGGACACCGTGCACGACTTCGTTGTGGGTATTTGGCGTTGCGTCTCGCTCGGTGCGCACTAACGTTCGCGCTGCATGCGATTTGCAGTCATTATGCCAAAGAAACGCAAAATGCCTTGTGTCTACAAATGTTTTCGCTCAGGGAGTGTGGCTCGGAGAAACCCGAACCGCACATGTTCCTTGAAGCTCTCAAGCGGGCGGGATCGAGCGGCGGCGGGGACGGTGACGGGAGAGGGGTGATCGTTGGCGATACCTTCAGGACCGATGTGCTGGGCGCGAGATCGGTTGGCTGGGACGCTGTGCTCATCACGAGGGGGAAAGACCCAGCTACCGAGGAAGAGCAAGATACTAAGCATTACGCCCGCGTCAATGACCTGAGAGGCGTACCCGCCGCACTGGGCAGGGGACGATGACGACGTGTATTTTGATGGGGCCGGTTTTTTTAGAGGGTCTTGGTTTTGTAGGGACAGTGCGCGGTGGGGGGTGGCTGGCGGTTGGTTGTGGTGGTGCTGAGAGATACAATGTGTGTTGTTTCGGATGCTTTGAAGAGCCGAACGACATGTGCTTTGTTGGTGTGATTTAATAATGTATGTCTATAAATAGCCTTACGAGAGCAGTCATATTTAGAAGTTTTGTTTGTGAAAAGCGACGGCACTAATGAAACTCTGGCTAGGCATTAATTATGAAAATCTCCACCCACGTATCGCCCCGGCGTTCTGGTTTGTTTGTTGTGGTAGATATCATGGATCTCTTCTTGCAAGGGCACTCGTACAAGACCTCACGTACATGTCCTCGGAAACCATATCCAGGCAACCTAGGGCAAATGAAAAAGGCGTCGGTACAAATTTAACTTGGCCTCCGCCTACTAGCAGATTCTATTAGGCGCCTACTTGGCGTCCTGTATCAAGTCCAAGTAGTTGGGAAATGGTGCCGCGTTTTCCGTAGCCCAGAGAGAGGGAGAGATAGAGAGAGAGAGACAGCAGAGGTGCACGGCACTACGAAAGGCCTTTTGTTCCTCTTGTGTTGCTTCTGTACCAGCAACACAATAATACGACTGGCTTTGAAGATATTAACTGAGGCTCTTGAAAGAGAAGTGTTTGAACCGAGCCTGTGCCGTCGGATACCGAGACGTCAACATGTTAACAGCAGTTGCACGTCGATGAAGGTAAGGAAACCCAGCACAAATGACGTAAAGGTTTTTATCCCTCACTGCAGAGAGTATGCCTCGTCTCCATCTAAAAAGGGCGAAGACTTCGTACATTCAGGACTTGCAACGTGCGGTCACCAACATAGACTTGGAAAATGGCAACGTCATATTCATATGCTATATCATACGTACCATTATTGTAGAACGAACAGACCAATGTAGAAGAAAGAATCGATGCAGACCAATAGTTTTCATGTTTTCTGTTTTCACGTTGCACAGAAAGACAAATGATGAGCAAAAACAATTTCATTCCCCGTTATTTTCAAAATGACCTTTCACCCACAAGCGTGAATAACGATTCATGCTATTTTTCTTGTTTCATCCTACGGCGTTCGCTGTGGCAGGGCGCCCACGTCATCCGCCTGTGCACGAATGAGAGAACGATTACATTGATGTGTTCCGAGGCAAAGGAATGGTCATCATCGTGCCTGTGTTAGGCAGGGACATAAAATATGATTGCGCGGGACAGGTGGTAGGGGTGTGCCCCGGACCTCTTGTTGGCAGGCTGGCTTGACATGTGGACACACAGCCATCCCGCCCTCGAGGGTGTCCGTTGTGTTCGTGGTTCGAGGCTGAGACGGCTGACCACCGACACAGCCACGCAGGAGGCACCATTCAAGCTCAACCTACTGAGGGCGTGTATGAATGGCTCCCTACTGAAAGACGGCCGATGGGAAGATTCTCACGTCTGGGGGTACGGCAAAAACGTGCGTGAATTGGAGTTTCCGACTTCCGACTGAAAGTGGTCAGTACGTACGGACAGACGGACGGACGATGGACAATTTTTTATCCTAAAGAGCCGGTGTATCCTCTGCAGAGTGTGTCGTTCTCTTGGATGGGTAGAGGAATGGATAAGGGCTTCATGTCGGTGGATTTTCCTAGGATGCAGCAAAGAAAGGCTTGGATTTTGTATATACTGTAGCATGACATGTGGACGAGGGCGTCATAACACTGATATCTCGTAGAACGTAGGCAACCACGAGCACAAGATATACTGCCAGATCTATCAAGAAAATCGTGCTGGCGCCTCGGAGCAAACCCAACAACCGGAAGTCTGCTCGCCCGGGACATATATTCCCCCACCATTGTCCTCACTATATCCGCACCAAGAACGATGGTCGCACCACGAACACGTGTGTTCATGTCGAAAACATCCGTATGTCGTATGGTTTCTTTCATTGCCGCCAGAGAAGAAGCACATTAGTGACAGGGAATTAAACAACTGTGTCGCCGTAAATCAAGTCAAACCACGCACGGACGTACACGTGAACCAATCTTAGGGTTAATCTACTCTCCCCCGGCGAAGGCAAGGTCGCCGGTACCACTGCCGATCTGCCTCGCAGACGCGACGGCATCCCCCAGGGCCTGCCCTACCGTGCTCTCCAGCAGGCGGAGGCTATGTAAGTGCACCTGCCTCAGGGCCGACACCCGCTCCTCGTTCTCCTTGGCGGTCTTCTCTGCAGCGCGGCACGCCGCTCGTGCCTCGGATAGCCGCCGCTCCATGTCTTTCAGCTCGGACCCGTGCTGTGCTTGTAACTGTTAACGTTCATCACGGTGTAAAAGGTATATAACCACCGGATATTTTATGTCAGCCATCGTTGGTGGAATTTCGAGTACATCAGCTAGTGACAGATGGGCGTTGAACGAGTAACCATCGCCGAACAGAAAGTGCGTGTGATTTGTGCGCGGGGGGTCATTACGTGTTCGTGATCGAGGTTGGTGGTGAGCGAAGTGATATCCCTTAATGCACATATGCTTGAATAGCACTTTCCATGCACTGTTGAAGATATCCATCATTGAGTGGTAACGTGAAAGGAGACATGCCTGTATAGAGGTGAGACCTGAGTGAAATATGGATGGCGAGAGTGGCGAAGAGGGCTTTACGAGTACGAAACAGAGCGGTAATGAATACGATCCTATTCTGAACTACCTCAAACAAGAACGTTACGAAAATAGTATGAGGAGCACCTTGCTCGTGTTGGAGGAATGAAGCTCGCTGGCCTGCCTCTTGTTCCTCTCCGCCTCCTCTAACCTCTGCCGCAACCCTTCCGTCACCCGTTGCTGCACGCCCAAATCTGCCTTTGTGATCATGAAGCACGGAAACCAACACGAAATCAATACAGGCAGCAACGAGAGCAACACAGAGTGCAAGGCGTCGTCAACGACAGCAGCAACAAGGACGACCCACTTCACCAGTGACGTCAACATCGATGTCAACGGCAGTGACGCAACGACAACAACGGCAGCAACATCATCAGCTATCACAACAGCAACGACAACGAGATTGATACAAACAAGAACGGCGACATTAGCGACAAACAATAACAATACCCATTGCTCATATGCGCCCCAAGTACCTGTAGCTTGGACGCCTTTCCCTCACTGTTGCGCGCAGAGTTTCTCGACTTCTCCAGCTCTTCGCCCGCCGCCGCCAGCTCGCGCCCGAAGTCCCTCAGCTCTGCCGTCGACCGTAGGCGAAGGTCCTCCAGGGACGCCAGGTACTCGCGGGACTGAGCTTCTTTTGATTCCGTTATCTGCATGTGTAGCGCGAACAAACGCAAGGCACAATGCAAGCCAGTTAGTCCAACAACATGCAACACGGAGAGATGAATTACGGATAAAAGACGCTGCAATGGCGAACTACTTGCGGAGAGGCAGTATGAAGAAGGCAGGAGGAAGAGGAGTAGGAAGAAAAACGAGAGAACGTCGTCCTCTTGGGTGGCTGGGGGGTTATGGGGGCACGCAGGTGAGTGGTGGGCAAAGTAGTTATGTCAACGTGAGTGCTTGTTCGCCACTGCTGCTACGTCTGTGTAAATGGTTTATAGTCTATTAATAGTCTACCTACATAGTACACATAATAGGGTATCATCACCTCTCAATAGAAAGACTTTTCGCCGCTTACAAGCGTCCTCATGGTGATACTTGCGGAGATGAGAAAGCACAGAGGAAGAGGGCGTTAATCCTCTGTTCGTTATTGCTTAGCTTGATTGCTTAGCTTGAATCATTTGACCAAGTAGTTTTTACATATGTAGTCCGACTTCTGATGATTCCCTGTGCATATAAAGTACGTTTTTCCATATTTTGGACCACCATCCTGTCATCGAGGCCAGCATCCACATCTAAGACAAGAAGAACACTTGCCAATGTGAGAGCGGGGAATGCGTATCGGAATGGACACATTTCGACCGAAACCACGCAAGGGGTATGCTCAAACGGTCACTGAGAAACGCTCCGGTAATATTGTGATCTACGTGTCTCGCTGTACGAGCAAACGTGTGCTCTGAGCGTGTGATGACACTTGTTCAGCCAATGCTGCGTGCAATACACACTAGGTGATGTCAAAGAGAAAACTGCGATCGTTCACAACACTCGTCTACTGCTGCAAGCTAACGATATTGACCATACCTTCTGGACAGCGTCGATTCTCTCGCGGAGTTCGGCAAGCTCAAGGTCGAACTGCTTCTGAGCCTCCACCACGACCCTCTTTTCGTTCTGAGAGATTCTCTCCTCCACGGACACCTGAAAAATGATATTGTGAGGTTGCTTTTGCGGTGCAGGAAAGCGGATGTGCTGTGGTCCCATGCATTCTAAATGTCAGACTACGCTTTTTCCCCCAATGAAGGGGTGATAACTTGGATAGTGGGCATGAATACGGGCACTCTCTTCGTTTTTCGGGCAAAACAACCGTAGTCGTGGTGTGCAAGAAGGATTTCGTTGCTACTGGTGTTGTGCTTAGCTTGTACTATTGATGTTGTCGTCGCGTTTCAAAAGTACCTTCCGGTACCTCCCTCTTATGTGCTGGCTGGTAAGAGGCGAGTTCCATCCGGGGTCACAAGCAAGCGTTGGCTGCAACGAAAAAAGGGGCAAGATTGTATCCACGCCAGTGGTTGGAAGGTGGAGGACGGCTGAGCAACGTACGATTACGCACCGACACAACCTACAACAATGCCTCCCGCGGGCCGTACCTGCAGGCGAGCGAGCTCCTTGCTGGCCGCTTGCCGCACCGCTTCCGCCCTCTGCCGCTCGTGTTCCGCCGCTCTCGCGCGCTCCTCAGCACTCTTCACCCGTGCGTCCCGGTCCGCTTGGGACGCTTCCACCCTTTCCTCGTACATCCGCCGCGTCTCCTCCAGCGCGGTCGCGCCGTCCCGGGTGGCCCTCGCCACCGCCGCCACGGCCTCGTCGGCGCGCTCCGCCGTGAGACGCACCTCGGCCCGTGCCGTCTCGTGGAGAGCCGTGGCTTGCTCGGCCTCCGCTTTTGCACGCGTGGCCGCTCTTCGAGACGCGTCAATCTCGGTTGTCTTTCACGGTAGGGCGAGCGGTTCAGAGTCAGAGGGCGATAATTAGGAGTCGAGGGCGGACGCACAGAGAACTTGACCGTGGGTTTTTCTCCTGGTACACTCTGGGTTTTCATTATGATCGTTATTTAATAGTGAATTTGTGCTGTGTTGTAAGGAGAAGGCGACTGACTCACCACAGCGCGCAACTCCTCCTTGAGACCGGCGACCTCGTCCTCAAACATATCGCGGACACGCTCCAGCTCGCCCTGAGTTACTCTCCGATCCTGTTTCAGCCAAAAGGCGATATGAAAATCGGTGCCGTCAAACTTTCCCTTAGGGTAGTTCAAACGGTCCTCCCAGAGTCTAACACCGAGACCTGTTCTGCACAACCTTTGGCAGGAAACACAGGGAGCGAGGCTGGGTCGACCGAGAAGCCGAGACCCGTACTTGCATGTTATATGCTGCAGTTGTAAACGGGGGCAAATGTAACAAACCGTTAGACCCACCCTTCACAGGTGGGATCAAACATATCTTTCGTTGAACCTGCGACAGAATGTTGTTCACAGGTGACCTATTGGGACAAAGACAACAGCCGGCGCACCAGCCCGCAACTAGAGATTTGGGTCGCTTCAGGTTGACCGCTGTGTGGTGCGCCGTCAATGGCGTGCACGCTGAGATAAGTATGTGTGTTTTCACCTCGTTGGCGCTATCCAGGGCATCCTGCAACCTCTCCGTCTGCCGCGTCAGCTCTCTTCTGGTTTCCAGGAGCGTCTTTGAGAGAATGGGGATTTAATGGTTTTGGAAAACGTTATGGACAGGGGAAGAGGGGATGTGGGCGACGGGGGACGAGGAGTAGGTAAGCGGTAGGAGACAGGTCATAGAAAACGAAACTACAAACACGATAGAAAACGGCTATGTTTTTCGCACGGGCTATGCGACGACAATAAACGAACGCGGTGTCAGGACAAGCGAACACTACACCCAAGCGAAAACAAGAAATGCAACAGGAATTAGGCTCTGTATTTCGTCTCCTCTCCGTCGCTGCGTCAAGGAAACCAAGCGAAGAACAAGGTTACCTGCTTAGTCTTGTCTAATTCCCCCTGTATCGCCTCCCGCCGTTCGCTCTCCCTCTCTAGTTTGTTTCCAAGGCTGCTTCCGCGAGATCTCTCATGTATGAGCTGCTCCTCTAGCTCGGCCATCTGTTTTGCCGAGGCCCCCATCTGCAGCACGGTACAAGACCAAGAGGGTAGCGTAGCAAGGTGGCGGTGCGGAACATCTCATGGCTGATGAGGCAAGACAGCCCACACAGAACAATCAGCAGACCTACCGAAAAACAACGAAATACCAAGGAAGGTGTTTGCAACAGTCGTTGCCACCTGTCTCTCGAAGTCGAGGCGGTGCCGGGCGGAATCCTGCTTGACCGTCACGAGGTCTTCCTTCCACTTTTGCTCTCTCTCCCGATCAAGACGTTTGTGCGACTGCCAAAGCAAGCCAGCGGGTGCGATCATGTTTTGGGGCCGCCAATTGTCATATCAATATCACTTGTGCGATCCGGGTAGTATTCTACACAGGGCAAGTGGGTGAATGGAAAAATGATTTGATATTTTCTTTGTTTGCCGGTTCATGAGTAGGATAAGAAGAGCAGAATAAGACCTCATGTGCACCTACCCACCCACAACGATACGCTCATGACTTGGAGGGTTCAAGGGCGTTGCTTCGGGCTGCAATATCTGGTAGCTGTTGGTAGACTTGGTCTCCACATTACGGTAAAATATAGTTGTGCCAAATTGTTGCTGTGTTTTGAAGGAAGATCAGCCATCGCGAGGTTGATGATGATGACGACAGCCATCGCGAAGCCTACTGTAGACTATCTAGACTACACACAGACGGAAGATGAGAAAGAAACCACCATCATCATCACCAACCAAGATTGAACGCCGATCAGTCGGCCGACAGGATCCATCCCCTTCGCCCTCCCGTGGAAATCTCTCTCTCTTCAGAGAAGTTGGCTACATTTCATCCATCAATTGTCCCAGGATCCCGGCCTTTCGACACTGGATGACGCTGTTTTTTTTTACCAATCAGTGAACTGCGTGCCATAAATGTTCACCCCTTACCTCCTCCTCTAAAGCTTGCCGGCGGAGTCGAGCCTCGAGCTGCTCCGCCTTACCTCGCGAAACGTGAAGGTCATCCCACAGGGCTGTCTTCACTAAATTCCCTGAATCTCGATCGCTCAGTGCAGCTTGGATGCTCTCCTGAAGATGGTCGTCAATCTGACAGTGAGGCGTGGCGAAGACAAACTCCCTCACGTCGGTGAGTTCGTCCACTATTGTTGTGTGTTCTACTACTTGGTAAGGTGGTAAGGTTACCGGGTCTAGCAGCGCTCGGAAGAGCATTCAAATTTCTAAGCAGTATTCTTGGCTTGTTGCCAGGACTGGTGACACGTGCTCTTCAAGCACATACTGTCTTGAAATTAATTACCACCGTGAGAGGTGGCCGACGTGTACAATAGAAGATAGACACTCACACCCTTGAAAAGGCAAGCCTATCCTATATGGTATCGTTGTCGTTTCTATAATAGTTACCACGGTAGCTAAATAGCAGGAACCGGAGAGACGAGTGCAAGGAACGTCTTCGGGGCAGATGAAAGGACGCATTCACTTCTTTATGCCATTGACATCTTCATGCGTTTCGAGAAGTACATTCACCTACGTTGCGCTGTAATCATTCGAGCCTTAAATTTTCCTTCGAAAGGTGGCAAACCCACCTTATTTCCTGAAAGCTTGACAGAGGTCAGAGAGCTGTTTGTGTCGAGGCTGTCGCGTATCGCCCGCGCACCGTCGTTCCCCACTTCATTCCATCGCAAATCGAGGTCTGTCAGAGTATTATTTGCTCTCAAGGCCCTCGCCAGGCAACTAGCACCCTGAAACAAAGAAAAACCCAAGCGATAGCGCGGTCATTGACTCAATACTATCAGTGAGAGACACGCGTGTACTCTGCCGTTAGCCCTACACACACAATCCCACAATTCGTGATGAGAGGTTGGATGCAGGTGATATGCTGTCAGGAATATACAGTAGAGGTGTTCTCAAATTTCAAATCTTGGACCTTCCGAATCCTGCAGCAGTCGAATCTTTGAAAACAACGAAAAAGTTAGGCTCGAACATGTAAGGGATCACGTTGCTCAACATGTCGTTCGTATGTTCACCCATAATTTGAAAGAAGAGCCTGTCTCACTGACACGCAAGTTCGCGATGACACTAGGGCGTGACTGTGACAAACTGATTGTACCTGGGCAGTGATGTGGTTGTTGCAGAGTACCAGAGCTGTTAAAGATCTATTGACCTCAAGCCCGTCGGCCAGGCGCTGGAGACCCTCATCACAGGTTCCGATGTTATTCCACTCCAAACTCAAGGACGCGATGGAACTGTTCACCTGCTCGTCATGCCGTGCAAGCGGGTGGGTGTTGACAAGCCACGGTACGTTTACGCAGTGAACTAATAATAGTCTACGGAACGGCAAATATCTTTGGTTGTGGGAAAAAGTGTCCTTGGAAGTGGATGGCAGACTGGAAAATGAAATCGCCCCAGCTATACAAGTGTTGTCTATGGACCTCCACCTGCTGTGCATCACCTTTAGCATGTCCCCTAAGGCCGCCGCTCCATCAGCGCCAACGCAATTTCGGTCCAGAAGTACACGCGTTTTGGAGCAGTTACTCGCCAACGCATCTGAGATTTGCCGAACAGCTTCATCTCCGACGAACTTATCAGCAAAGTTGGCGTCCGTCGATCCGTCGTTCAAAAGGCGATCAACCTCGTCGTCCGCTAATCTGACGGTGCTTGACATGTTTCTCGCTTCCTCTCGGCTATGAGATGGAACGACGATTGACCCCTTGGCGTTGCTCCCTCAAACACTCTTGGAAGTCTAATACATATGACTAATGCTGTACTGTAGATACGCAGACACATGGATGGGGGCATACAGTTTTTTCTGATGAACCTTGCAGCAGGATATCGACGATCGATGCTATCCGATATCTAAAATGGATGTCGCGATGTCCATGCGGGCATCGTCGGTTTCAAAAATGCCTCCAACCAGTGGAAAACGCGTTCTACGAACAGCGGTAGATTACCTCACCTCGTGACAACAGCATGCAGACACTCAGACCCAAACTCCACAACGACAAGTCGAACAGCTGCAGCAGCGTCGCACACCACCTTGTTGGACTCCATGATGCCCTATCGCCTGTTTGCCGCAGTGGTTTTGCTGTGGGCTAGTGATGGGCAGGTAGGCACAGCGAACCATTGACTTTGGTGATGCGACGCGACTCATGATTTCTCACCCACTTGCAACTTGAAACGCGGGAGCACCCATGTCGTGCGACCAGTTCGTACAAAGCAGAATGGACCTCTAAGCTTGAGTAGAGGCGTCAGCTGTGTGAAATTCATGGTTCACCAGTCTTCGATCCCCCTGTTGACTTGGACGCGACGCTCCCTTATTCTGTTCGCCTTGTTGTTTACAGGCCCTGCTGTCTCCAAAAGTTCCGTTAGGAAGCACCAGCAGCGCTGCTTCCCCGCCGTCCTCGTTACCACCAACGGAAGCACCAGAAAGAGGACACCCACTGGCGACCATGAAAGAAATAACAACACAGAAGAACCGGGTCAGAGCTAAGGACTGTGGAACGCGTAGCACTCTAGCCGCTGCAGGTCTCGCGTTGTCGTTGTTCATCTCAAACCCGGGCTCGTTAGCGGCGGATCCAGGCATGCCGGGAAGTGGCCTTGGGTGCACCACCAGTACGAACCCGAGCTATAGCCTCGTCTCTTGCGATCGTACAGGGTTGGATCGAAATGGACGCTTGCTTGGATGCAGGTGGGTGGGGGGTTAGAGTGCCAGACAGAGTGTTGGTGTATTGTATCGCTTTTCGCGGACGTGTGTTGGTGATGAACGCATGTGCGGGTGTGGTGACAACCGACCTTGATACCGTAGGCTACACAAGATACCACACACCCTGGGACCGATTTTCAAAGCTTGATTACTCCACCACGAAGAGGATGCATAATTGAAACGGTGCGTTTTCGGAAAGCTCTCGACGAGATGGCGCTCCACCGCCGCCATTTTCGGCACTGCCACTGCTGTTTCTGCCCTCGGAGAAACCGATCTTTGAAAATCCGTCCAGGGGGTGGGTGTGATATCTTGTGTCAACCTACGGTATTGACTGATTTCGATGACGACCGAAAGAGCACTTGGTTCCAGCGATCACACACGAGATAGATGCATAAGACCAATTGGGAAGTGTTCTGCAGAGAAAAATGCCTTGGTCGCACAGAGCAGCCTTGTCTCTACGAGCATATCATGTAGCCAACCTCCACACACCTCTCAGATCAAGACAAAAAGTATCCACTCTAACTTCAAGACGAACAGCCGACAACGGGTGCTCATTTGCTTGTAATAAACTATTGGTGTTCGATGCGAAATCGGTAGAGAAAATCAATCTTGGAGCGGCGACATGTGGATTGGCACGTTGGAACGCCCAGATCTATCTGTTGTTGGGGTCGTGCTGTCGAAAGCTCGAAGTGCGGGTCGTCCAAGGCAGCTAGTGGTGTACTGCTACACCACCCGCAGTTCGGTGGATTGGACCTTTGATGGCGCGTACAACAGTAGATCGTGAATGGTATGGACCCACATTTGCGGACTTCTGGCCTGTTGTGAGGATTAGCAATCCCTGAAGACCCTGATGAGCACGCACTTGCTGTTGTTTCCTTGCTATCTTTAGTAGTCTGACCAATAGGGGGTGGCGCCCCCTTGCAAGGGCCGTTAAAAAAGTGTTCCCTGACAGTTCCATCCTAAGGAGTTGCAGCTCCAGCCATAAGCTGTTCCATCTTTCCCTAGCCCTACCGTTTAGATCCTGGTTGTTTGCTTCCCGAGGGCGACACAAGACTGGCCAATGTTATCACGGTTGTGTTGTATCTCAAATTTCGATAGTGCCGGTTTCCGCACAAACTGCATTATAGTGTTCTCGCAGCACGTGATGTGCGAGGGCTTCTTTTCCCTCGCCGTGACTTTTCGCATTTGCGTTAGCATATGCGTGCTTTTAGGCTAGCGGTACCGCAGATCCTGCTGCTCTTACCCGCTGCTTTGGATCGCTATCTCCCTTGTTTTGTACCGAGTTGCTCGGTGTGTAGGGAGTATGTTTCTTACACAGGAGTCACATGTGTTCTTGTGCGGAATAAAACATTTACGGAAAATACAAGGCCTCCCTCCGAAGTGGGGTAAACAGAGCACAGCGGCAAAACGGGTGATGCAAGTACATGCAAAGAGAAGACGAGGAAAACAGCAGTTGTACACACACAAAAGTACTTCCAAACGGGGATTTGCGCCATTTTGGGGGGCTAGGCGAGCTTCTCCTTCGATATGAAGATCCTTCCGTAGGAGTCTGGCTGCAAGAACAACCCGCGAACAACTTGTTTGTTTCGCCCATATGCAGATCTCTTGAGGGCATCCGACCCTCGCACCACCTAGAGCTCACCCATATCGGCGCCTTTACACCTAAGCTCGCTGCACCAACCAGTGTCCTGATGATATTACGTAAAACGAGCCAGCGGTGGTGTCATATCGTTTTTGCCTCATCCTTGTAGGTTCACAAAAAAGAACATTGTCTAGATATTTTCTGGATTTTTCTTGGTTGAAACCCTGCACGCCGCACGTCGTGTGTACCATGCATTAGTATGCATGCATGTATGCCGCGATGCCAACGTCGGCCCCAACCTGAGGCTCGGCGGTCTGCATACTCTGCATCATCTCTGCTGACATCGCCATGTCTCAAAATCCGGTGGGAATAGGCACCGTTCTGGGGCATTTGGGCGTTCAGTAAAGCTCTGAATTGGGGATGAGGCGAGATTAGACAGCAGTGCACAACGTCTCTGGTCTCTGCCGTATGACAGAACTGAAAAAAAACAAGATGCAACTTTCAACAGGCAGATTCCTGGCCGGAAGAATGACTTGAATTGCATCCTGTCGACAGAGGCCTTCCTCCGCCCTTATTTTCTGTCCCGAGAAGACAAATCGTCCGGTGTATTGTTCACGTTACAGCAGTACTATGTGACCTGCTCTCTCTTCTGACGTTTTACGTGGCCATTCACCTTTTAGCATGTTTTGATGTACTGCTGTTGAGGTAAAGAAACAGGTGTCACCGCTTGTGGTTGCAGCTGTTCAGAGCGATCAGTAGTAGTGACGTCTTGCGGCGGACTGTTCAAACCGCTCTCTCGCGCGTATTGGAACATTTTTTTTGGGACCCATCAGCACCATGATGCTTTGATCATCGCCTTGCTGAATGCACACTGGAAACACTACTGTGTAAGCTCTTCCCCTCTCGTGCCCCACCATCACTCCACAGTGGCTTTGACAGCTGTCGCGCCAACGCTCAGTTGTCGGCACCTGGTTCGCATGTGCGAACACATGTTTCAACAGCAGAAAAAACAGCTGTCACCGCTGACGTTTTTGTTTGAAGCTGACGTCTTCTGGCGGACTGTTCCGACACGACGGGCCCGAAAACCCAAAGAGATTCAATAAAAAGTCTCCTTTCAGCCCAGAGAAAGTTCTTGAGATTCTGGAGAAGTATTCATAAATCTGAACTTAGTTCTTATACATCACGCAGAAAGACTACTCGTTCGAGAAATAACCGTAGTCAGTCGAAAGGGATACTTCGTAACTCCTGAGAAGGCTTTTGTGGCGCGGAACGCATCCCCGGGGTATCCCGGGGTAAGCCAGTTCCCGCGACTTTATAGGCGTTCGATGACCTGTCTGTCCACGGGCGCGGTACTGTACATGCCCCTGCGAAGGAAGCGTAGGAAAACCCTCGCTACCGGGTGCGAAAATGACCCGAAGCACCAAGAAAAATGGAGTGTACATGCACATGTATATATTCAAGCCGGTCGGTCGCCCCGGTGGTCAAGTGGTAACTTCGAAACCGCTAGTGGCAAAGACGTGAGTTCGAATCCCCATGGGGTGAATAGTCTATGTTACAAATTTGAGGGTGAAACCGAAAAAGCTGAAAAGTTCATGAGTACCAAAAACTTATCGTTAGCACCGTTGACGAGGGAAAAGGACGGCTGGACCCTTCTCGCGATGAAAAATAAATTCAGCACGCACAGCAGGAGGAATGTGGGGCACGACAATATAAAATGAAAAACAACAAAGAGCCCCGGTGTTTTCCGCCTCCTGTGTGACCCTGGATGGTTGTACTTCAGTAGTACTCTACATACCACTGAAACACGTGTACACGTCTCAAATGAATCGAAGACCCGATGCTTCACAACGCAGCAAGTCACTTCAAATCAAATCGACCTCACGGACACCTTCCTGTGCAAACCTTGCCGACATCTTCGAATGAAAAAACAAAAGCTTAGCCCGCGACCCGCGAGGGTAGGGACGGAAGGAGTAGATATCGAGGACTTGGGGTCGAAACACACTAACGAGATTGTAGAGGAGGCAGTGACGGCGTGTCATGCAACAACAGGAGGAAGCCTTGGGTTCTGAGCATCCAAGTTTGGCACAACGCTGTTGCCAAACTCGGATGCTCAGAACCCAGCGCTTTCTCCTCTGTAGCATGGCAGCGCTCATACCACATTGCCACAGCGGCTCGGTCTCTGCGTGCGCTTGCCATATGAGCGATGTCAAGCAATCAAGGAAAAAGCCCTAGGTTCTGAGCATGTGAGGTTGAGCGTGGTTGCCAAACTTACATGCTCAGAACCTAGGGGTTTTCTCCTTGACTGCTGACATCGGCCATACCGCAGTGCCACAGCAGTGACTCGGTCTCTTGTGTGCTTGCCCTCACCGCTCCCTCTACAAGTGTCTACTTGCGTGTTTCGACCGAAAGTCCTCCATTTCTATTCCTTCCTACCCTGCCCTGATGTGGAAGTCACTCAAAACGGCATCACGGACACCTTCCAGTGCAAACATTGTCAACATCTTCAAATCGAAAACCACGAGCTTAGCCTGCAACCCGACCTTTCAGCTCTCCAGAGGCAACTTTCATGCCCCGGGCTCAAAAGCGTTCGGGCAGTTCTCTATCACGATGGAATTGCGTAGGTAGAACGCATTGTGGGGGAGCAAAATGATGGAGTTGGACCTACGGCGACTAGTCGGCCTGAAAACTCGAAACTCTACCGGTACTATTAGCAACGGCGCAACAAGCTATCCAGGAATACCTCCAGAAAAGATCACGACTTCACCTTCAAAAATATTTCCAAAACCAAGGCCTGGAAGCACACCAACCTCACCCAATAGTTCACAAGCAAAGAGCGCGTCACATCGCCCAGGGTGGGTGTGGCATAGAGCGCGTTGCGGGGGTGCAATATAGTTAGGTAGGAATCACCTAAAAGTTCCTCGAACTGCCTCTCGGTTTGTGATTCCATGTTCCACACACGCATCAAAATCCTATCGTGATTCTTCCATAGGGTCGCGTGTATGGGACTGTGCGCAGCGGGCTGTGTACACAGGACCCAGACACGATGTCCTTGCGTTACGTGCTCGAGTTAACATCCTCACAAATTTACCCTGACACCATGTACACGCGCCTCAGTTCTTCGGAGAACTGCTTGAGCACCTCCGCCGTCAAAGTGCCGGGCAAGCTGGGCAGCCCGTGGGAGTACGCGATGCGGACCGACGACGCCGACACGGCGTTCGCTTCCCTGGTACATGCGGTCGAGCGAACATCAGAGGCCACCATGAAGATCGTTGACCGAGAAGGGCACTACATCTTGGCAGAGTTTCCGTCGAAGGTGTACCATACGTAATATGATGGGCCTGCCTTCTGTACGGTCCTCTTGCTTTCTTTCGTGGTAGACAGAAACTGTTCCATCTTGTGCAACAACACTGCTGTAGTTCGAAGAGTGGTAATTACTACGAAGTACCGTGTAATTATAGGGATTTTTCGTTGACTACAGTAATGCGACTACTGTTCCGCGACTAAGGAATTCATTCCGTTTGCGATACTCAAGCCTTTTTTTTGTTTTTTGCGATGCAAACCAATTTACTTCAGGTGCCTCCTGGCAGCGTTGACTCAGTGGAGTTCTTGGTCAAGCCGGAAGATCAGATTGTTCTCTATCGCTCGGTTAGCCGAGACACCTTGTTCCTTTACCCGCTTCAGCAGCCAGTGTCCGACCAGGGGAAGATCAAGGAGAGATTAGAAGGTACGTCGGGGTGATCGATGTAGAGAGATCGTTCGCTCGTTCACCAAAAACCAGTAGTTGTGGGAGAGATCACAGCACTTGGTGGTTCCGCTTTGCCGTTGATTAGGGCTAGAATGTTTGCGGTTATATCTTTTGATGAGGAACCCAAGTTTGACTTTGTCGATGTCGTTGGTGTATTTTTCCGCAGTCGAATGAAGTTATCTAGTCTTCATTAACAGTCTTCATTAACAGTAACCTCCCGTTCAACCTCTTCATTAATAGTAACCCTCCCCCTTCAACCCCGCCTCCCCACTCTCCGCTTGGACGCGATCTATCCTGTTTTCGATTCCACGGCTTTGCGTATGCTCAGGTATCCGAAATGACCTCGGATGGAACATGTACACGTACCGCGGAGAGTAGGCGGGTAAGAACACCATATCGGACGAGTTGTGCACCTCAGAAAACGTTCAGTGTAGTACGCAAGGAGGGTTCCATGGACAGCTGTAGGCGACGGTGGTGCGACCTACGGTGTGGAGGTTAGTACAGGAGCTTGGTGAGAAGCGTGTGGAGGGACTTGGTCTTTCCTGGCACATTATGCCACTTTGTTTTCGTGTAGAAGCGATCTAATGTATGGGACTGCTTGCTCAAAGAGAAATGAGTTGGCGAAGGGAGTTGTTGTTGTCGTTGTCTTCACATGGACCCCGTTCCGGTCTCTCCTCAGCAGTACCTTCTGACATCCGTACCAGTTCAACTGACGCGGGCGCGTTCCGTGGTTATACCGTATATGACACAAGATAACACACCCCCTGGACCGATTTTCAAAGCTCGATTACTCCACGACGAAGAGGATGCATAAATGAAACAATACGTTTTCGAACAGCTCTCGACGAGACGGTCCCAACGCCGCCGTTTTCGGCGCTGTGACTCTTCCTGCTGTTGAGAAATCGAGCTTTGAAAATCGGCCAAGGGGGTGTGTTATCTTGTGTCATATACGGTAGGTCAACTACCCAAAGAGGGTACACATCCAAACTCTAGACTAATAATCAGAAGTTCGACTGCTGACCTACAAATGACCATCTTACCAGCGCACAGCAAGTAACGCTGTGAAGGATGCACAAGATTACCGCATCTCCTGGACCAATTTTTGAAGCCCGATTAGTCCAAAACGTGAACGAAGAGGATGTCACAATCAAATGATAAATGTTCGGATAGACTCTCGAAGAGAGGGTGTGAATGCCGCCATTTCGGCACCGTCACAGCAGTTATTCCTAACCTAAAGAGAACGCATGTTCAGCAAGCTCTCAAAATCGGTAATCTGCAACATTACAACATTGTCCTCCAGTCCTCCAATGGTGTTGGCAACGCCAACTCCGTTCGAACAAGAACCTCGTGGAGTGGAGATTGATGAAAATAACCCCCGTTCACCTGCTCCCAACTTCTTCGCCTCTCCTGTCTCGTCTCTCCCGGGATTTATTGGATCGACGAAGTACAAAGCCGAGCCGCCGGTATGCCACGTCCAGCGCAAAGTGTGCATGTATGCATGTAAATCTACCCAGATCTCGGCTCTGTCTGCTGTCCGTACTCCGAGGTCAGGTGCCGTGCAACACAACGAGCTGGGACCGTCTTCCGCCAACTATCCAGCATCCAAGGAGTGATCGATCTCTGTTGACTTGAGTGCTGTCATTCTCAACGTTAGTGGGGAGCTCTGGCTTGGTGATGTGCACCGCCGTGCCCTGAACGCGCGCAGTTTTCCTCTACGCTCGCAAAACATGATGAGAACGCCGTGACTGCCTGAGTACAAACCCCGAAACTACTTCACATCCTCTCCGTACACAGTACAGTCTACCGTGCTTCGCGCTTCTGTTATAGCCACATCGCCTTGGGGGGGCTATGAGCGCACGGGAACGAGTCGTACTCAGCTTGCTCACGGGGGCCACATGTAAGCGGAGAGCCGAAACGAGAAGCGTCGATATATGTAAGCAGTTCGTGTACGGGTACCCCTCACCCCAAACGGCAACACGGCATGTTGCCCACCACGAACAAGTTTTTACTGATGCAACGGCACATTTCTCTGCACTGCTGTGGACCAGAGCGTTGAATCTTCTCTGGCGGATATCTGATGACAATAACTGCGGTGCAGCATGCACACATACGGCAATATTTGGACGTATTGTGTAGGTTGCATAAGATACCACACCCCCTAGAAAGTTTGTCAAGCTTGATTACTCTGCAGTTGTGGTGCCGAAATGGTGGCATTCGATCCATCTCGTCGAGATTTTTCCGAAAAGGTATCATCTTGTGTTGGCATCATAATTGTCGTGGAGTAATCGAGCCTTGAAAATCCATCCAGGGGTGTGGTACATACTCCTAGAAGTGTAGATGCCAGACCCCTTCGGACGCTGGCTCTATTCCTATACTCTATCCAAACCAACATAAAGCAACCTTCCCGCCGTGTTGCTATCAGTAGAGGACACCATGAAGAGGCGTTGTGTGGTTTGACACGTTCAGGTTTGGTGCTGGAGCTGAAATATCGAAGGCCGTACTGTAGTAGAGGCCTTCAATCTACGCAAAATTCTAGACCAAATTGGACTACACCCATTGCGACACCCCGTGTCTTGTAGTGCTTGTGCTCGCCGCCACGGACCGTAAACCCCTGAACGGCGGATCTTCAGCAGTAGCTAGTGGCACCAGCTACTGCGGAAAACCCGCAGTTCACGAGATTGGCGTCATCGGCGGCGACCACAAGCAGAAAAAGATACTGGGTGTCCATGGGGTGTCGGTTAATTTGCGGAGATTTGCGGAGATTGTAGGCCGCTACTTATAACCCTAGATATTACCACCCAAGAAGAAGATTTGAGCACACCCATACACACCCCGCTGCTATAGAGTGTCCTCTAGTGATACCAGTACTCAGGTGCAGTTAGAATGCTAAACCGACCTTATTTGAGCGCCTACCGTTTTCGCTCTTTTGACTTGAATTTACGATAGTGTGATCTTTTATCTTGATTTCAAAGGGGGCGTGTGAAGGTAGACTCATTGTATATATGTTTTGAGCAGCATCTCTGCCGCCCCGTGCGAGAATGAACGATTTCTGTTTTACGCGATGCCTTTCGACTGGTCTTGTGTGCCTCGTGTGCATTTTCTGGTGCTATTGCGGTTTGTTTCAAAATCAGGCCCCGTGAACTGCAACTTATGCAAAACACACAAGCAATCAACCAGGGAGCATTCGTGGGCGCTCCGATCCCTGCCTGGTCAAACCCTCTATCTGGTGTGCCGGCGTGGCCAGTGTCGCTGCCGGCTACCCATATTTTCAAACAAGCGGATGCACGTGCATGCTTAGGAACTTTACGCATACCGCAGTTGCGCAGATTGGAACCTTGCGAGCACTATGCATGTACGTTGGTTGGCGACTACGGAGAGGTTGCATGCAAAATGTGTACCCAGATCAGTCCACCAAGTTCTATGAGAGGCTTCTGTAGCAGTACAAAGCATGTGGTACGCGTGTTGGAGTATTGCGTGCTGCGCTTTGCAGATCAGACATATCGCGGTTTTATGCGCGGGCTGTCAGCTTGTGCAGGCACAAACAGCACGCCCGTCTGTTTTTTGCTACCGTTGAAACTGGGGGCTTCGGTCTACAAGACACATTTTGCCAACAAGTTCAGCTTCGCTCGTAATTACCGACCCACACACCCACAGCAGTAGGAGTACGCGCGATTTTGCTGCATATGTCATTCCTCACGAGCCTTTCAACTCACCATTTTGGACATCCCCCCGCTCATTCGAACGTATCACACCGCTATCACGATCCACCCACATGCTGTTCTGTCGTATGTAGTAACGACATGCGCGGGCATCTGGTGGGTAAGGAAAAACGACCCGGCGATACTCCTTCCGCAAGTGTACCGCGAAGAATACAGGAAGACGGTTGCCGCTCGCAAGGAACAAAGGTAGGAGTGCATCGGCTTTCTTCTTGTCTAAAAGGTACACGAGTTGAGTGGACAGGGAATGGATGGATGGGTGACCTTTTAGTAGCGCACAAAGACAAATAATGAGAGCAGAGTTACACACACAGAGAGAGAGAGAGAGAGAGAGAGAGAGAGAGAGAGAGAGAGAGAGAGAGAGAACGGGAGGGGGGAAGGGAGAGACAGTTTTGGTGTGTTTTGAGGTCCAATAGATCTACTGAACCGGAGGCACGCCCGATTTGGCTACTTGAATCAAGCTGTGGCCCAGCATCTTGATATACATTTTGCTGCCGAGGACTGCGTTTTCTGTTGGATAGTGCTATGCTGAATTTAGCTCAACGCTTCTTCCCTGCTCGTACCTCTCCCACCCCGTATCCCGCGCATATCCCCTCCTCTTTGTACCCCTCTCATCCTCTGCGTGTCCCGCTCTGCCCCCTCATACCAACCAAACTTCCTGCAAACTTCGAACGCCCGTTTGCAGACAAACGGAGCGGGCATTTGCAGAACAACAATTTTTTTCTGATGAGCAATCTAAAATCGACGAGGAGCAGCAACGGCCGCAGCAACGTCGACGACGATGATGGCGTGACAGCTAGTGGAACTTTTGGTGCTACTCTAGACGTCACAAGCCACGACTCTTCGGCATACATCCGCGTATCCAAGATCTAAGGCGTCGTGCGTCAGAGGTTTGCGTATGGGTTGCCGTAAGCCTCAGTTGTGCAGGAGTAATGCGCCATCGAATACGATGGAGACGTAGCTGTACGCCTGAGCCAGAAAGGACGACAAAGATAGATGGCTGAGACGGCTTCATCATGCCCATGAGCAGTGGCAGCATGTGGCAGCGCCGCGGAGCCTGTGTTGCCTTTTTGGAAGGATTGCACACCCTGTACAAATACAAATAACAAATACAAATAATAGTTGCGGGTATTTGTCCAGGGCAGTATTTGCCTCCAGACAAATATTTGCGCAGGTTCTCAGGAGAGTATTTGCCTGCAGGCAAATATTTGTGCAGGTTCTCAGGAGAGTATTTGCCTGCAGACAAATATTTGCGTAGGTTCTCAAGAAAGTATTTGCCTGCAGGCAAATATTTGCGCAGGTTCTCAAGAAAGCATTTGCCTGCAGGGAAATATTTGCGCAGGTTCTCAAGGAAGTATTTGCCTGCAGGCAAACATTTGTGCAGGTTCTCAAGGAAGTATTTGCCTGCAGGCAAATATTTGTGCAGGTTCTCAAGAAAGTATTTGCCTCTAGACAAATATTTACGCAGGTTCTCAAGAAAGTATTTGCCTGCAGACAAATGTATTTGCGCATGCGGAGATATTGACCTCTTCGGCCTACAAGTAAGTACGTATGCACAAATGAGACCGTTGAGCCCGGTGTATTTGCAGCCGCAAATAAATATCAATTGGTGTTTTTGGGCCCTTGATTTTTCTTGTTTTTTGCCACAGGAGTTGACTCATC